CTCCACCAACTTTAGGTGGTGGCCTCTAGTCTTTGTAATGGAGTTAATCTCAAACAGTTTGTTGCCAATGTTGCTGTCACCATTGAACATCTTGTACATGAAAATCATATCCCCCCTTAATCTCCTTAATTCCAGCGTAAACATGTTTAAGGTCAGAAGCCTTGTCTCATAGCTCTGGTCCTCCATTCCCCTAATTTGTTTTGTTGCCCTCCGCTGGACTCTCTCCAGTTCAAGGACATCCCTTCTCAGTACCGGCGACCAAAACTGGACCGCGTACTCCAGATGTGCCCGAACCAACGATTTATATAGAGGCACAATTATAGACAAGTACTAACCACTTCACCACTGTGTTGCCCTGAGTATGAGTACTGATATTTATCCTTCGGTACTTACTGATACTGGTACTTCTGCTAGCATGGAGCCGGCTTCCCGGCCAATCAGGAAGCCGGGCGGTGTGTCATTACCCGCTGCACGGCTTCTTGATTGCCTGGGAAGCTGGCTCCATGCTGTTTGGCTGGCTCCATGCTGAATTGCATGGGAAGTTATTACCCGCCACCCGGCTTCCTGATTGGCCGGGAAGCCAACTCCATGTTCCCTCGTGGCACTGCCGGTCAGAGGAAATCTCCTTCTGATCGTAAGTTCTGGTATCGGGGGTAACGGAGCATTTGGGAGACTACGAATACTCGCCCAAATATTCGGTATTGGTGCATTTCTAGTAAATACGTCTGTTAGGTTTTTTGCTATCTGTGACCTTGTAGGGGAGATTTCACCTTACTTTCTGTCCCTGTGCCAACAAGACAAGAAATGAGAGTAGCAGTTGTCGCCAGGACCGTAGTAATAACCTGACAGACTCTCAACGTTCCCCATTTAACTGTAAAGTACATGTTTTGCCGCAGTGCATTTCCTTAAAAGTGAGTTTCCCAATTACTTCCTGTCCAGACAGAAAGCGACGAACAATCTCTCCATTGGGGGTCACAGACAGCACTTTTTACCTGAGTTCTATCCTTTTCCCCACTGTCCAAAGCTAAAAGTTTTCTCTAGATTTTGGCATAAACGGTTATTACATATTTATGTATCACTGTAAAAAAACAAAAACCGCAAGGCAGAGACTTAGTTGGCTTGTTTTATCTCATTCTGAAACGAAAAGTTTTCTGTGAACAACCATATGTCATATGATGAAAAAAAATTATTAAACATTTACAACAGTAATGCTCTATTCTGTGCCTCCAGAACAACCAACTGAGTTTACTTTTTTTTTAGCTGTACAATAAATCACAAAATTGTTTTAAGACCATAAATAAGATATAATATTAATAATAACCAGATTTGGAGTATTGTGTCTGACACTTATAAATTAATAAAACAATTCAGTTAGGAGCTAGCAAAAACAATTATCTTTTGATCTTTACATACAGTATTTGATTAAAAACTGAGGCAACCAAACAATCAAAAAAATGATGCATATATTTTTGCAGCATTACAGTCTTTCTCCCTAATGGTTACATGTAGCACCAATTTACCCACTAAGCCTGTGGTCATCTGCAAGCCAAACTGATGTGTTTCTGCATTGTAAAGTATTAATATCCTGCTCAGTTCCCTTTGTTTAAATCTGGTAGTCTAAGCCTGCAACTTGAGTGCAAGTTGGTTTTATTCTCCGCTATTGTATTCAAACACAGAGTTAGGGTTTACTACATAAAACTTACAAATAAGGTCACTTCAGTCAATGTAAACAATGATCTTGAGATCTATCAATTATATCCTAACTAGATTGGTTGCAAAAATAAATATGCCATTTTCGTAACATACAGATATAAAGTCAACTATGTTGTGTGCAATTGTGTATGTGACAAACACTAGACATGGAAATGGAGTGTGTTGACATAAAATCTCCATCCACGTGATGTAAACAAGACCTTGTACACTGAGTGCACTGGGCACATTGGATGAGCCAAGGATGGTTGGAAAGGGCTTGGAAATGTTATTTGCAATGTATGTACAGGTGAAACTCGAATAATTAGAATATCATGCAAAAGTAATTGCAGTAAGTGCTGCAAAAGGGGCCCAAACCAAGTACTGAGTACATATGCATGCTTGTACTTTTCAGAGGTCCGATATTGTTCTATGTACAATCCTTGTTTTATTGATTGCATGTAATAATCTACTTTTTTGAGATTGTGGATTTGGGGTTTTCATGAGCTGTAAGCCATAATCATCACAATTATGACAAATCACGGCTTGAATTATCTTGCTTTGCATGTAACGAGTCTATCTCATATATTAGTTTCACCTTTTAAGTTGCATTAGTGAAACAAATGAACTTTGCACGATATTCTAATTATTCGAGTTTCACCTGTAAATTATGGAGTACTCAAAGCCAGTGCTCAAACTGGGGCCAATGAAACTTAAGGCAGTCTGCTTCAAAATGTCCCAGAATTCACATAAAGCACATTAAATTCTACACCAAATAGATCTGATTTGCATATAACATATAGGTTTGTATAAGCTTCTTACCGGAAAGCAGCTCAGTAAATCTCTCTTCGTTTAATTATACAAAGCACAAATGATATTTAATACTGAAAGGATAGATTTCAAGCCTAAATCGGATAATTTAACGAATATCTAAACCAAAACCAAACTAATATATTGCAGCTTACCAGTCCTTGGATGTGGTGGTTGCATGTTTCCTTTTATAGCCTAAGTACATTTTCTGTAAATACACAAAATTTATGCTGTTAGGAATCCGGTGTTCTTGTAGCTTTCTGGGCACCGAATTGTTATCTCAAATGACATTAGCAGCTTTCCCAGCTATCTTCTGTGGGATACGGAACACCACCTCCCTATGTAATGTAGATGGACAGGAGGAAATGATTGTAGTCCATATGTTTCTCTATAGATCCTATGTAGTAGGCCAGTATTGTCACCCTAGGGCAGGACGTGTGTTACTGGCAA